TTTCATACTCAAAAAACTTTTCCTCAGGTGTAAGTTCATTGGCAGATCCAGTAAATATCACAAAAAGAAAACACTCTGCATTTTGGATTTTATATGGATATCTGAGAAACATTTTGATCTGTTTTTGTATTTTGAGATTTAAGTATCTTTTGATTACATATTTGAGCCATTCAATCTTATTTACTTATGTAAATATGGCTAACCTGGTGTGTATGTTTAGTTTGTGTGTACGTTTAGTCTGTTTGACACAATTGTTAGGGAACAATGGGAATTGTGGTTTTACAATGTCTTTACCTTCTCTACCAAAGAATGCTGGTACCTCACCAAACTATAATTCACCCCCTCCCCCTGATTCCATATCATTGAGATGGCAATTAAAGTTGTGCTAAACTGCATTAATTCTTCAATGTAGATGTACCCACAGTAATTATATGCTATTTTCCTCATGTATGTATCTTTCATGTGTCATGCTTTGTCATTCACTGCAAGGTAAACATAAGCTTCAATTGATGGAACATGTGTTTCTGAGTCTCATTGTGACAAATTAAAAATATCATATGGCAAACGTTTTCCCTGAAATGTATAATTTGATCCTTGGTTTCTTAATTTGCCAACATTAAGTTGGGTTTGTCCCAGACATTGATATTTTTTCTAATCCTACATTTAACTTGTCTGAAGTTGGAAATTTGATTGATTGTATGAAAAATTGTGCGCGTTTTGTGTGCACATTTATCCAAATACTTTTTATTGCAACCTTATAAATACTTTTAAATACGTGATTTTCTCCAAATATACAGCTCTGCAAGCAATTTTTAAATTGAATGTGTTCTGAACATTATTTTCACAAATATATGTTTAGTGTGTACTTTCCCACAATATACACATTTTTATAAACCTGTTTTTTGTCTGGACCACTCAGTTCTAAAATTCAGATCATTTGAGCAGACTTCAAAGGATTTCTGAGTTTTGTTTTATAGTATGAAACTACAATATTCAATACATTGGGATGAAAATGGTAAGAGGTTTCTCCCTATCTCTAACTGAGCTCCCAACTTTGATTAAGCCACAACCAACTGCAGATTGTCTGAAAAATCTGCCAGTCTGGATGTGGTGTTTGCATTAGGATTATACTTGGTCTTGCCCAGATTGCTTTAAAAAGGTGAATTCTTATAAGTTAGGTTCTTGGGTTGCTGTCATCCTTCTGTGTCCATTTGTTCTATTCTTTCTGGGTGCTGTTTTTAATGTACGAGGGTTGAATGAAAAGTAATGCCTCCATCTTCGTAACTCCTCAACAGATGGCAGTACTGGTATGTGGCAGGTACTGGCTAGTTCAGTAGACTGTCCTCTACAGTTCCATTTTGGTGGGAAGCCTTAGCATTGAACAGTTGTGTTGTTAAAGTGCGAAGTATGAAATCCTGTGCAGATGGTTGGTCAATGCGACTTAAGCAACATGCAGTCATTGATTCCTTGACAGCAGAAGGTGTCACCCCTAGGCCTGTAGCGAAGGGGGGGGGGGGTAGGGATTCAACCCCCCCCCAAATGTTTCAGAGTTAAAAAAACCTGGTTTACTCATGAATTTTAACTGGTTAACCAAATCCCCATGCTAAGTCTATGAAATGCAAAAAATTAAGAGTCCCTCCAGAACTGCAAGCACTATCTCAAGCAAATATTGACAATTTATTCACACTGTCATTACAATAGCCAATGAAGTGAAGCAACCAAGTTGGGTGTGTGTGTGTTGAATGCTCTCATTAAAGAGGCCAGACTTGGTGGAGGTGGTTGACAGGGGCGGAGCTGCAGGCTATTGAAGACTGCTCTGCCCCCTGCTGTCCTCTTTGCTTCAGTGTGAGCTAGGAGGCAGGTTTCAAACCCCCCCCCCCATGAAAATTTCAACCCCTCCCGAATTTTTTTCCTGTCTACGGCCCTGGTCACCCCAAAGAAGATTAATCAGAGAATGCAAGCTGTTTATGGTGATTGTGTTGATGTGAGTACTGTGCGTCGTTGGGCGAGTAAGTTTAAAGATGTTGAGGTGGGAACATCTGACTTGCATGACAAACAAAGATTTGAACGTCCTGTGACAGCAACCACCGAGTTTCACAAGCAAAAGGTTGACAGATTAATTCAGGATGATCGTCGTATGACTCAGAGAGAAATTTCAAGCATAAACGGCATTTCACAAGAACGTGTGGGTCACATTATTGCTTAGCTTAGCTATTGGAAGATCTGTGCACGATGGTTACTGTGACGGCTTCAGAAAACGTGCTCATCATTGGCAGAACTATATCCAATTGCCTGGTGATTATGTGGAAAAGTGAATAGTGGTAGTTAAAGAGCACATTCTAAGGATTATTTCTGCATTAGATTTATTAAAATATTCCCATCCAAACCCAAGCAACGAAGGTGGAGGCATTACTTTTCATTCAACCCTTATATTCCAAAGTGTTATTTGTTTTTGTTTTTTAAAAAATCAGGGCATGGTTCTATGGTTTGAGGGACAACTTCTTTCTTTTCTGATTTTTTAAACTTTGAGGTATAGTGTTATTGTGCAAAAGTATCATTTAACATGTGCTATAGCACTATAGTGCTTTTTAAAAGAGGGAGAAAGATGGAATGAGGTGGAAAACAGAAGACTTTCTCCGGATATGATTAAAAAAAGAAACCTACTTGAAAGTGTGAATAAAATGTTGGAGTTGACACTGAGAATTGTCAGACTTAGCTAACTGAAATCATTTGTGTGTGTGTGTATTAAAGCCTCAAGAATTATGTGTGTACATGTGTGTTAGGGATGTGCAATCCATAAATAATGGTTCAAAAGTCATTACAAATATGGGGGAGGGGGGTCCTGGTGCTTCGTTTCTAAAACGTTTCTAAAGTATACTTAGTGAAAATTTTGTTACTATAATGAGACTAACAAAATTTACTTACTATTTTGTTACAATATTTGTGCATAATTAAATTACTATAATTGGGAAAAATTCAGGGGCTTCTATCCCCCTCATTTTTAAAGCTATTGGGGTGAAACTAGCTACAATGGTAGAACCCATTTACCACTGTTAGCCCACCAAATTTCAAAACATTTCACTTATCTATAGATTTTTGGTAAATTTTCAAAATTTTTATAAACAATGTTTTTTTAAATAAAGAAAATCTGTTTCCAGTTTCAAAGTGCTATTTCCTGTATAATTGTGTCATCCTTGTTTTGAAAGTAGTTGTTCTACTCCAGAAACATTGTTTTTGTGACAGAAACTTTGTTAAATTGGAGGAGACTCAACAAAGTGAAATGTGCTATAGGACTTTTTTTTCCATGTCAGAAGTGACTTGAGAAACTGCAGAACGATGGCCCCTGCACAAAGACGTTTTTGCGGTGTAATAATTTTTACCATGTTTTTATGACAGAACCAATTAGGAACTGCCATTTATAACCCAGGAAGCGAAATCACAGTTTAGAATATTAACAAATATATTGGAACTCTGGCTGGTTACAGACTGATCTCCTCTCCTACTTGGGGGGTTCTGATGCTGATGCATACTGGGAAATGTAGTTTAGGGCAGTGTCTTTTGAATTCTTTTGCATAGGGTTCCTCCCTTTCCCACATTTCCTAGTGTTCTATGCTGTTCCCAAAATGCACAGCTCCCTCTTTTTGCAGCTCCTAATGCGGAAACTCCATTATTTCCAGGCAGGCAGACAGGCAGGCTGTCTTTTTGGCTTAATGGCTTTGCTTCTTTACACTGAGTATAAAACTGACTTTGGCAGCCTTCTGAGATTTACAAAACCACGCAAACGCTTCAGGTATGGCTTCCGACTTACAAAACTTCCGATTTTCTTACAATTTACGACACTCCCAAATTTTTTGCATGTGTCTAATGTGTGTTTGTGTGTATAGACATATCACAACTTACAACATTCTCCTAATACATTTGTGTCATCTACAGGTGTCCCTTGTATTCCATCCATGCCCACTATGCCCACTATATGGAAAACATAAATGTGAACTCCGTCAACATGCGTCCGGATGTTTAGCACAGCTGGTAAATCACCAGCAACTATAAGATCTATCAACTGAAAGGTTGCAAGTTCGAACCCAGGGTTGGCGTGGGCAGCCAACCATCAGCTCTGCCCACTGTTTACCTCTGCCCACTGTTTACCTATCCTCGGTGGCGCAGTGGGTTAAACTCCTGTGCTGGCAGGACTGAAGACTGACAGGTCGCAGGTTCGAATCCGGGGAGAGGCGGATGAGCTCCCTCTATCAGCTCCAGCTCCTCATGCGGGGACATGAGAGAAGCCTCCCACAAGGATGATAAAAACATCAAATCATCCAGGCATCCCCTGGGCAACGTCCTTGCAGACGGCCAATTCTCTCACACCAGGAGCAACTTGCAGTCACTCCTGACACGACAAAAAAAAACTGTTTACCTAAGCAGTTCGAAAACAGCTTTAGCTGTAATTGGAGAAATTAGCTACTGCTAAAAAGTGCAGGAGGTGTTTTACAATGGCATAAAGAAAAAGAAGATCAGAAAATGCTGGAAAGAGGATGGAGTGACAGCACCCGCTGTGGCACGACACAAAAACCTCCTTCTGTTCTGTCTGTGTTCTGTGTACTGTCTATACAAATGGCATTGAATGTTTGCTGTGTATGTGTACTTGTGACCCGCACTGAATCCCCTTCGGGGTGAGAAGGGTAGAATATAAATAAAGTGTTGTTGTTGTTGTTGTTGTTGTTATTGTTGTTGTACTTGTTGTTGTACTTGAGAAATAACCCACACTTTTGTGGTCATAAAGTGCACTGTTACAACTTACAATTCAAAAGGGAAGTTACCCTCATAGTCTTATTTGATATGTCATGACTGTCTAGTTCCTTTCGTCTTGCTTTCCCTGCCTTTATGAAACTGAGATGAAATAAGAATTCAGATAGGTCCCATTCTCAATACTTTCTCTCTCTTTGGAAAGAAATCAAATCCAACAGGAGACCAGCCCATAGAAGAAGAGACAGAGACTCACAGAAGATATCAACTCTTATTATGATTGTGGACTTTTGTCCAGACATTGGTTAAAATAAACAAATTGTGCCAGTATTGTCCTATCCTCCACATGTCTCCACCCAGAAGCCCAACAAAAGGTCACCATTGGGATATTCCATTGGAGGTTATCCAATAGATTAAGAAAAACCGGGAGACTGTGGGTTAGGAACCACAATAGATGTCACCTGTACCATTGCTGCTGCTTCTGATGTGGATATAGCATTCATGAAATAAGATTTATCTGGAGAATATACACATATATTATACATATATACACAATGGAATGATTGGGACGAGCATTGGAATCTACCCAGCTCCTTTCTGTGGGGAATGGATTAAATGTGATTTACATTGGATAGGTTTGGGTGTTGGCATGGGAAGGCTACTTTGGCAAGGAATGGGCGTCCGAGTTATACAGAAGGCCTCTGGCCGGAACAATATTGGCCAGCAATGAATAGGATTAGTCCATTGGGTGTGCTAAGGCATTCAGTGTCCTTCATGGGTGAGTTAAGGAGTATTTGTATATGTATGCACATATTGAAATCACTCCCTGTTCCCCTGGAGAGGTAAAGATTTTGGGTGGACTGGGAATATTACTGGACTCATTTATACAGTGATAAAGAACTTAAGTTTTTCCATGTAGAGGGGAAAAATAACTCAAATATTTTTCTATCAATTTGAAATTTGGGGGATATCAACACTGATGTTTGAAATATTTCATCTACTCCTCATCCATGTGCATGCAGACACAAACATAGGATGCCATACATGCCATACTCAAATCCAAATGTGAAGTTCTATAATGCAGATTTGAGTATTTAAATCCAGATCTTTGCCTCGCTATAGAGCTGGAAATGTGTTTGTGGATGGTGAGATGATAAATTCATTCTTCGCTGTTTCAGATTAAGAGACTGCCCCACAAGATTCTATCCCAGGTCATTTGGGAAAGACCCTTTGCTTTTTTAAAGCCTCTTTCCTCAAAATAAACACACCCTTGAAAGTGACCATTGATGCTGTTAGAAGTGCATGGAAGAAAGGAAAATGAGCATCGACTTGAATAGCATAGCATGTTCCTCCACAGTGCCCCCTAGGAAAAGGGCAACAGGGATGCAACCACTGCACCCTGTAGGGAGAGACTGGCTGTTGCGAGATGGCGATAGAGGTGGATTCCCCAGCGGACTTTGCCATGTGTCGAAAGCAAGGTGCACATAGGCACAGTCTTCAGTCCGAGTAGATGATGAAGCCTGAAAAGGTGCTGTATTTGTTGTTATTGCCCCCATGGGCTTTCCCCCCGTCCAGCTTGATGAACACCTCATCACCAGCGTCCAGGTGTAGGATGACACTGTTGCTGGCGTAGTCATAGTTCTGGTCCGCATCTTGCGCGATGGCACTAGCGCGCACCTGTGGATGGGGGAGGACACAGGCGGGTGGGGGGAGAAAGACAGGAAAGTGGGAGAGAAGGGGGGGGGGGAAAGGTGTAAACAGTGAGTGATTGCACTGGAAGAGTGATTCAGCTACTCTTCTCGATATTTTAAATAAATGACTTCTTGGACTAAACGGTTCCGGCCCAACTTACCTATCCAAACGTGTCTCCCCTTACGAACCTTCCAGGAATTTAAGATCATCTGAGGAGGCCCTGCTCTCGATCCCGCCTGCCTCACAGGTGCGCTTGGCGGGGACGAGGGACAGGGCCTTCTCAAAGGTGGCCTCTCTGTAGTGCTGGGTGAGTACAACTGGTTTCCCGGGTACAGGCCAGTTTCGATACTTCTTCAGGTAATCTCCCTGTTTACTTGGCTCTGCCTTCTTATCTTTTTTTAATAGAAGTCAAAATAAAAGGAGAACTAGCTAGTATATTACATTATACCATACTAACAATAGACATGTAAGGAAAAAATTTAAGAGATCTATTGATCCAATCAGACATAAGAAAGTCTGATGCGGGTCCACAGAACCCCATCACGGGACAATTTCAATGTGGACACTGTGAATGCTGTAAATTCACAGCAAACATTAAGGAGTTTACTCATCCCACGCTAAATATTAATGTAAAATTAAAAAACTACACCACCTGTTCATCAGAAAACGTGATCTATATTGTTCTATGCCCCTGCAAAATGTTGTATATAGGTATGACAACTAGACCTATAAGAACTAGGATACAAGAACACAGATCTAGGATCAAAAGAATGAGTTGTGAATCCACATTGTATTTGCACTTTAAAGATAATGCCCACTCCAGTAATACTAGCTAGTTCTCCTTTTATTTTGACTTCTATTAGAAAAAGATAAGAAGGCAGAGCCAAGTAAACAGGGAGATTACCTGAAGAAGTATCGAAACTGGCCTGTACCCGGGAAACCAGTTGTACTCACCCGGCACTACAGATTACTTGGCCATCCCTGACACCCAGAAACAACAACAATAATAAAGGACTGAAATTACAACCCTGTGGAAAAGGACTTATCCAAGAGTAAATCCACGTCAATTTCACTTATATGAAGAATTTGAACTTTTATGTGTACATTAATCTGTTTTTTGACTCTATGAAGACTTAAGAACAAATTTAAGATGGCAATAAGACCATTTTTGGACTTCATTTGTTCTACAGAACCAAAACGACTACTACTGGACTATAAAATTAGAGTAAGCGTTACCTATATGTACAGCTTTATGTTAAGTATGCATTATTGACCTAATTTGAAACCTTGGTTACACTTGAGAATCTTATCAAGTTTGGAGTAAAATTGTGTGAGGTATACCACTTACAATGTTAAGAGTATACTTATGTGAAATGTGGATAAATTGAATACCTATAAGAGAAGTATTACACTACTCTATACCATACACCCTCTTATCTGTCTACTGCATATTATAGACATCTGTGCGTTTAGTATGTATAATCACTTGCCTTTATCACACTTCTAGCCAGTTATGGAAAAGTATTGGCTCAGAGACCTGAGAGTAGAGCCTTGGCATGCACAGACAGTGATTTTCTGTGCTCCAGATGTCCTGATTTGGCAGGGAGAGTCATGATACATCTTCTGACAGTCTAGACATTTTTCAGATGCTTAAAATATCCCCGTTTTGATCTCTTCCTCTCTTTTCCTCTATTGTCACTAGTTTATTGCAATCTGGGTTCAAAGTGCAAAAATCATTTGTACTCAATTAACTCAGCTTGGAGCAGGGATGAAAAAAGGTGCAAAATCCTGCCTTTCCAGTGGGCTCAAGTAAAAGCAAACTGATGCAACCTCTCCTGGATGATGTTCCTCCTCTTTTAGTAAACATTTTCATTTAGACCACATTCACTTGTTGCCAGGTCATACATTTTGGAGTTTCCGCTATAAAATGTTAGAGGGTTTGAGAATTGGCATATAGTTATCCCTTTCTTGAAGAATAATTACATATGGTCAGATATCAGGGGGATCTAAAAGAAAACAAACAGTGACCAAGCGTTAGTGCTCAAGCAGGTATGAGATGGGATTTTCCCCCTCCTTAACTTGCTTAGAATCTGCTGACTTGGTATATCATGCCTCTGCACAGTAAGGGGCCTTTGCCAACCATATGCCCCCTGTACCACATGACTAGCAGATATGATGTCTATCTCAGCACTCCTTCTGCCCCCCTTGGCTGCTTCAGGCGAAGATCCTTTCAGCAGTTATCTGGACTTGTTTTTGCATTTCTACAAACCAGGTTTTTCCTGTTTCTGTAGTACCAGTGAAAATTGTATCCTTAAAAAGAGAACTTGTTCTGTGCCTCTGTGCCAAAAACATAGGGGTGAGTAACTGCACAACGATTGGGAAGCAATCTTCTTAATATTCCCCTGATGCTATACCAGTGTTTCCCAGCCTTCCTAATGCCAGGACCCCTTAATACAGTTCCTCTGGTTGTGGTGCCCCCAACCATAAAATTATTCTCGTTGCTACTTCATAACTGTAATTTTGCTACTGTTATGAATTGTAATGTAATGTAAATATCCAACATTCTCATTGCTACGTCATAACTGTAATTTTGCTACTGTTATGAATTGTAATGTAAATATCTAACATGAAAGATATTAGATATTTTCATTCACTGGACCAAATTTGGCACAAATACCCAATACAACCAAATTTGAATTCTGCTGTGGTTGCAGGGGTGGTATTGATTTTGTCATTTGGGAGTTGTAGTTGCTGGGATTTATAGTTAACCTACAATCAAAGAACATTCTGAACTCCATCAATAATGGAATTGAACCCAACTTGGCACATGACCAACAGAAAATATTGAAAGGGTTTGGTGGGCATTGACCTTGAGTTTTGGAGTTGTAATTCACCTACATCCAGAGAGCACTGAGGACTCAAACTATGATGGATCTGGACCAAATTCGGCAAGAATACTCAATATGCCCAAATGTGAAGACTGGTGGAGTTTGGGGAAAACAGACCTTGACATTTGGAAGTTGTAGTTGCTGAGATTTATAATTCACTTACAATCAAAGAGAATCCTGAACCCCACCAGTGATAGACTTGTGCCAAACTTCCCACACAGAACCCCCATGCTTTGACGGGACTCGCTGGAGTGAGCCTCCCTCCCGCCTTGCATGCTCTCCCCTTGCCTGCACATGCACACCACACTGCACGCACCGAACATGCCTCTCCCTTCCCCTGCTTGAAGTTTCAGAAACAGCCCTCCCCTTGGCTGAGAGGCCGGCCAATCACAGCGGAAGAGGGATTTTGATGGACGATTCACTATCTGTTTCCAAAAAGGAAGAGAAGGACAGGTAGAGAGATCTTCAGCCTCCTCTGCCAAAGGGGTTCCTAAGATATGTTTTCTGATGGTCTTTGGTGACCCCTCTGAAACCTCCTTACACCCCTGCCAGGGGTCCTGACCCCCAGGTTGAGACACATTGCCCCATCTGTTCTTCTGATGGCACATGGCTATGCTCTTCCTGGCCAAAATGGCAACCAGAATTGGCAATATTATACCACTGAAAACATTTTAAAATCCGGGAGGGTTGGGAGAGCCTTAAAGGTTTAACAGGGGGCTTCATGGGCCACAAAAGTGGATTCCAGATGTCCAGGCAGCCCACTGACCATACTTTTCCACTGTTACTCTAACAGCCCCTTATCTGCTGGCATTATAAAGTCATCATATTTTCTCCAGTGCTTTCACCTGTTGCTCTCTGCAGATCAAGCTTCCAAAGAACAAGCCAGATTGACATTTGGCCATGTTGACTATAGGATTCTGGGACCCAGAGCCATTCAAAGTAACATTTGTAAGCTTGGGTTTGGTACAGATTTTCAAGGTAGTATACACACAGTAGTCAAGAATTTGAAATATTAAAGAACATGGAACTCTGACTTCAGTTCTTTCAAGTTGAGAGGTGTAAAATTATTTCAAACATCTAAAAGAAAAAAATTCCAAATTTCAAATTGTTATGCCTGGGCAAATAAAGAGTCTTTAAGTTGGTTCTGAACACAGTAGAACAGTGGCACCAAGACATACTTCCTGCTAAAGTATAGTCAACCACTAGTTGATTCCTTCAAAATGTTTATATGTAATGCATGTATTGAATTATGCACAGCCATACATTTTGAATTTTAATTAAACATGGTCTTTGGCAAACAAAGTAGTTTTTAAACATTCAGCAGTTTGTGAACTGTAGGGGGGGTTGTTAACCAGGGAGGAATCAATGCCAGAAGGTGGGTAGTTAATCATTCATTCACAGCTCCAACTCCTGACAATGCAGCTGGATTTATTTCTGGTATCTAAGGTCGTTGGCATGGGAAAGAAGAGGAGATGCAGATGAAACCTGGATGAATTTGAATGGGATAAGTATCTTCCTTTCATGTGCCTTTCCCCTGCAAACCATCCCCAGAAGCCAGCAGTCTTTCTTAACATGTAGACAGGGGCGGCTCAACCCATTATGCAAAGTAAGCATTTGCAGTATGGTTGATTTTGCCCAGGGGCGCTCTTGAGGCGCTCTTGGGGGAAAATAGACCTTGACATATGCGAGTTGCAGTTACTGGGATATATAGTTCACCTACAATCAAAGAGCATTCTGAACTCCACCAATGATGGAATTGAACCAAATATGGCACACAGAACTCCCACGACGAACAGAAAATATATATCAGTGATTGGTTGGGGGGCACGTGCTAAAATACTGTTTGCTTACTGTTGAAAATTACCTAGGGCCGCCTCTACATGTAGACTATATTGACAGGAAAGCTTGAAAAAGATAATGATGTCGGGGAAAATGGAAGGAAAAAGGAAGAGGGGCTGACCAAGGGACAGATGGATGGATGGTATCCTTGAAGTGACTGGCTTAACCTTGAAGGAGCTGGAGGTGGCGATGGCTGACAGGGAGGGAGCTCTAGTGTGGGGTGGTCCATACGGTTACAAAAAGTTGGAAGCGACTGAG